TCTTCTTATTCCCCCTCTTGCGCTTTTTCACTCTTACCGTCCCGTTCCGACTTCACTTTTATCCCCCCAGCTTTCAACCCCCCGATTCTTGGCCCTCTCCCAACATGCTTTGCCAGGAATTTATCTTCTAATTTCAACTCACGTGCTAACGCGGAGCGTCACTCCTCTCCTGTCGACAAGCCCATATCTAACCAAGCGGTCCATTCCAGTTCATCGGCTTCCATTTGGAGCCCTCGATCCTCCTTCAGATTGGCATGCCTCAATGTTCGCACATTACTAGAGATCGGTCAACAGACTGCACTTGTCCAAACATTGGAGACCCTCTAGATCGATATCTACTGCTTATCAGAGACCTGCCTGCAAGACTCGAGCTCTGTGCTCTCTCTGCGATCCCCTTCAGGTGACGCAAACAGTATTTTCTCATTGCGCCTATCCGGTGACGATGCAGCTTCGAGCACCGGCCAAGCTGGTGTTGGCATTGCCCTGAGTCCCGGGCTGAAGCTGCTCTGGTTGATTGGATTCCAATCAGTAGCCGGATGTGTGCGGTCCGATTGGCTGGCTCGTTCAAAGCTTCGAAGTCGCGCGGGACTAATAGGTGTCTATTCATCATCGCTGCCTACGCGCCCACAAACTGTAGCGATGATTCGGTAAAGAACGACTTCTACCGCCAACTGACCCAGCTCCTTCGCCACAGAAGAAGCACGGACACTGTTGTGCTGGCTGGGGATCTGAACGCACAAGTTGGAAAGTTGTCCACTGATGAAATGCATCTGGGCGGTCAACACGGTGTAGGCTCCCGTAATGATAACGGTGAGCGGTTACTTCATTTGTGTGAAGATGCCCGCTTATTTCTTGCGAGCACAAACTTCCGACACAGCACACGCCGCAGGTTGACTTGGCGCCCACCAGCCTCGGACGCAGATCGATCACATTGCAATCAGTTACCGCTGGAGCGGCTGCATACAGAACTGCCGCTCGATTTGGAGCACTGGTGTGGACACCGACCATGCACTTGTATGTGCTGACATGCGGATGCGTTTTGGCGGTCCCCCACGACGACGCTATGAGCGCATTGACACCAGCCAACTGACAAAGTCTGCTGTTCTGAATGCGTATCGACGTACGCTGACATGGGAGCTGAGTAAGCGCTCACTGGAGACAATTGATGGTCACTGGTCACATGTTCGCCGGACCTTACTAGCAGCAGGCAAATCCTCATGTGGTATGTTTAAAAGCCGACAAGGATATTGGGTGTCGTCGCGGTCTCTGGAACTTATCGACGCTCGCCAGCATATCCCGGCTGGAAGAGAACACAATGAAACTCGCAAAGAGCTCCGTGCAAGACTGAAGAGAGACCGCGAATCTTGGTGGTCTCATGGTGCGTCAGAGATGGTAGTGGCCGCTGCCCTTGGCAACCATTCTAAGTTATTCCGTCTGATACGGGAAACGGACAGCAAGACACCTGGTGTTAGTGAAACTATACGTGACGAGCGTGGACAGCCTATCTATAATTTGTCAAAACGTTTGGAGCGTTGGGCTGAGCATTTTGAAAAGCAATTTAATCAGCTAGAATTGTTCGATTCTTCGCCGGCCAGTGATCGCCATGCTCCGTGGGCTGTCCCCTCGGATCCACCCTCGCTCAGAAGTCAAACGTGAGTTCGGACTGTTGAAGTTGAACAAAGTCGCGGGACCAGATGATCTTCCTCCAGCCCTCTTCAAATTCGGGTGCCCTGCTCTTGTCGATGAATGACTAGTGAAACTGTGGGAGCAGGAATCTGTCCCAACCGACTGGAGCCGCTCCGTTATTGTTCCCATCTTCAAAGGCGGCTCGCGTTCAGAATGCGGCAACCATAGAGGAATCAGTCTGATCTCCATCGCCCCCAAACTACTCGCCTCCATAATCCTTCACAGACTGACTGGCGCTCGTGAAAGCCGGCTTCGTGAGGAGCAAGCCGGGTTTCGTGGTGGTCGTGGCTGCATCGACCACATCTTCACCTTGCGTCAGTTGTTGGAGCACCGTCACACATATTGGCGGTCCACCGTAGTCGTGTTCCTCGACATCAAAGGTGCCTTCGATTCGGTTGATCGATGTGCCCTATGAAATTGTCTACTCAGGAAAGGTGCGCCCGAGAAATACGTAAATATTATCCCAGCATTATACGCGCGTAGCACGGGCAGAGTGAGGGCTTACGGCAACTTGTCGCCACCCTTCAATATCTCAAGCGGTGTGAAACAAGGATGCCCGCTGTCACCTTTCCTCTTCAACTTCGCTATTGACGAAGTCATGGAGATTGCACTTACAGGACATGACTTGGAAGGTGTGGAGCTACTCCCAGGAGAACGACTTCTTGACTTGGAGTATGCAGACGACATTGCCCTCATCTGTGACAGCTCCCAGACGTGCCAAGCCGCACTGGACAGATTAGCAGTGGCTGTCAGCCGCTTCTGGCTTCGCTTTGCACCACCGAAGTGCAAAGCGATCCTCCAAGATTGGCAGGGACCGTCTCCGGCGCTGAGCCTTGGTGGGGATCAGCTAGAAGTCGTTCAAAAACTCAACTACCCGGGAAATTGTATCAGCGCCCTTGGGATCGAAGACGAGATCACGAACCGTATGGCAAAAGCTAGAAGTGCTTTTGCTAACCATCGCCACCTATGGCGGCGGCGCGACATCACCCTCGCCCTGAAGGGTAGAGTGTACAATGCAGCGGTACGTTCGGTGCGGTTGCGAAATTTGGCACCCTAATATCGGCGGACATGAAGAGGCTAGTTACGTTCGACCATCGGTGCCTTCGCAGTTTGGCTCACATCTGGTGGGAACACCGCGTGAGTAACGAGCGTGTTCGACACCTAGTTTACGATACAGGTAAAGGAACCGAACCGCTCAGCACCGTCGTTTCACACACCAGGCTCCGATGACTGGGCCACGTTTTGGGCACGCCAGCGCACCGACTTCCGCAACGTGCGTTGTTTACTCACCAGGGGTGCGGATGGGAGAAGAGGAGAGGTGGCCAAGCGATGACTTGATCCAGAGGAATGAAGACCCTCACGTCGGAGCTGGCTTCGGTTGGAGCGTCACGGCCCCCTGGTTGGGGTCCAAAAGTCGATGAACACGTTTGGCTACATACACTTGCTGACATGCCAAGGAGCCGACCTCAGTGGTGTTCGTGCTGTGAGTTTTTTTGTCTCTCCCCCCCCCTCACCTATGATCTCAGTTCGTAGGGTAAAACAATAATTTTTCTTTTTGCCTAGTAGCTGGCTGATAGCTTACCGGAACGATGCTTATCCGTTGCTGCTAGCTCAGCTGGCATGCAACTGTTGTATATATTTTCCTTTTCCTTCATGTATTGTGGCATAGTAACTGAGGTGTTGCCCACCTCTAGCTGACGTGTATAATAATGAATGATGAGGTGTCGTGTTTATAAAATAATAGTGTCGTAAAGAATTCCCGATTCCTTGGCTCCGAGTTTTTCGACAGTGACTGAACTCAGCGTCCTTGGTGATACTGGGTCAATTGCTAAAAGTGTTGTGTCGAAATCGCACTCAACAAAAATGCAGGGCGCGATCTACGCAGCTGGATAGCAGTGGACAACCGCATTTGTACAGTCCCACTTAAAATCGCTACCGGGAGCACCGTCTGAAGAAAAAGTACTGATATCATGATTGTTGCTGGTGACATGGATGTCTAACTACGTCGCTACTCGGAACTTAAACAACATCTGAGGCCGTTTCCGAGTCGATGCATGATGAAAAACAACGGCGATTGATTCCTGAAACTATGTGATAACCACGGAGTTTATATTAGCACTACTCTTTGTAAAGCAGAAATGTTCACATCGGGTTATCTGGCGCCAACCGAATTCCACAATGACATGGACCCATACTGACCCTATCGCCATCAGATGATGCCTGAATGTCAATTCAGAAAATGTGACCTGATCTAGTGCGCGCACGCCTGGTGCTCACTCCTCCAGCTGTAAAACAGCGCTTTAATTGTAACGTTTTCACTAGTAACTTGTACTCGTAGGCCGCAATTCGATAATATTATGAAGAACTGGAACACCAGTGGTCAGTGATAATGAGGTCGGTGTACTGAACGTTGGAAATGGAATGGTCTCAAGTGTGCCATGGAAAATGCTTTTGACGACTGATGCATGCTCCACCTGTCAGTCAGATCCCTGATCCATTCTCAGCCGCGTTGACTAGCGAAACAGTTTGAAGACCGATTCGGCACGCTTGCTGGGACACTCCCGTTTCCTGAAACGACGCCAAGTTGTCCAGATGAAAGGCTCTAGAAGGTACGCGCACATATCGGCGTGCAAGCCCTTATGCCTGCGTAATCTCACTACTCCTAACCTTGAGAAACGCTGCAATAACTGTGAGCTGTCCAATAAACAACACACATGAACAAAAAATCTTACGCCTCAGACTTCAATGGTTTGTTTCGGCTGAATACAAGTGTTTGTACGGCACCTTCCTACTCGAAGAGACAAAATTATTCACACAAAAAATCATATAAACTATCGACAACGAGCGAATTGCGGTTAGATCGTTTAAGTTCTGTTTCCACGCAACTCGTAAGCGAAACCGTCAGGAACGAACGCCATGTTATACTTCTGATTGGGGGGTTTTGATGTCAATTGCTGAGGGGTTCTTGTCAGCAGCTTTCAAAGCAGATAGTCCTCCAAACACCCTGTTCTCATTTGACCACATGTTAGCTTGAAGTATTAATGACGATCGGCTGTTAGGTCAGGAGAGTATGTGGACGGTGCAGTCTTCTGGGAGTCGCACAAGGCTGATAAGCCAAATAGATTTACAATGTTACATGCTTTGGAATGAGTCGGAACTGCGGAATGCCAAGCAAAGGTACAACACTGGAATGATACACAAGCAACTTTTGTTATTAAGCGCTTCACGTGCATAATTTCCAGTTGTTTGGGTATCAAACGACAAAAATTAACGTGGAAAGAGGTAAAAAAACGAGCCAAAAATCTCCATCTTACCAGTTTTTGAACACTCGTCAAGCGCATGAAGGACTTGAGACTCGCGTTCGGGATTGTGGTCGACTAGGATTCCTAGCGCAATAACTCTTTGATCGATGGATTGTCGAGGGAGATCTGATAGGGTAAAATGAATGCACATATTAAGTTAAATACAAAAAATGGATAATATGGAATGAAGACCAGTGAGTTCAAACAAGTGTGTGTAGGCTCGAGCAGACAAGTTTAAAGAATAGTGCTGTGCTGATACTGAATACTGAGAATAGAGAGCGAAAAGACAAAAATCTGTTGCTCCATCGTAGATGGATCGGGCACATGCGCGGAATCACGTCGCTGATTCCTGCGCGGAAGCAGTATATTGCAGCTGCACTACATCTTACTCGGGCGCAATACGCTCCCTATAGACATAATTTGCAAAGTGGGCATCGAGGAATCTCTTAAATTCTGACATCGATTTCGCCTCGACTAACGTCTCCAGTAACTTGTCCCAATACTTCACCGCGGGACGTTCGAAAGGTGAGCGATGCGGGTTAATCCCGGTACAACTAGTTTGTACCGGTGTCCGCGTGTGCTACGTGCTGAGCGAAGGTGTAGCAGCGGTCTAAACATAGGGAAGTAGCCCAGGTGCAGTATCTGGTGCGTCATAAGGAGATCAAGTCGAAGCCGACGATATGACAGGGTATGAAGCCCTGGTCTCGTACGACATACCCCATCAACTGGGATGAACCGGGTAGCTACATGCTAGACCTGTTCCAGTATCCGCACCTCACCTGTTGTGATCGGGCAATAGGCGGGTGAGCCATACTCAAGCACTGGTCATTTCGTGGAAGAGAACAGACGGGTGGCAATCTCTTTAGACCAAGTGCAAAAGCTGCAACTAAGTGTCTAAAAGCAGGCGTAGTTTGTTTCTGTAGTCAGTTAGTGTTGTGAACAGACTTCATAGCACGATGTGAGATACACCTAGATCCTTTACAGAACTGGTGGGATGCAGCGGGTTGCCGGCTAGGGTGTACGCACGCCCATCACCGCCCCTCCCCAGGCTCATAAATGAGGACTTGGCCAGGTTGACCTGTAGGTCAGCTTCTGTAGACCGCCGGGATAGGCTGAAGGACATAACAGTTGTCGAGAAAACCATCACCCTCCAAATCATCAAGTCGTCTGCAAACTGCACGAGGCGACCGAAAAAACTGAGGCATTTCGTTTATGTGGATCAGGAATAAAATTGGTCTAATCATAGTGCCGTGGGTTTTCCGTTAGTGGAGAGATACCAGTCCGTTAGGTGATCACCAACCTGTACCCGTCATTTGCTCCAAATAAGGAAGTCATTGATCCACCGGTGCAGTGCGCCACCAACACCATACATCCTCAGCTTGTGGAGCAGGACCTAATCTATCTAAAGCTTAACTGAAATCAAGGTAGATAATATCCCCAGATTTCCCCCGGTTCAACGCTTGCAAGCATGCCTGCCGCGTCAACAGCAGGTTGGTGATGCACAAGCAGCCCTTCATAAAGCCGTGTTATGCAGATGTGAGATCTTTCGACTCCAACAGCTAGAGATCATTTCTCACAATCTTCTCGAGCAGCCTCGCCAGAACAGAGGCCGGACAAATCGGTCAGAAATTATCCGCATTGCGTGGGTCACCGTCTTCACTACAAAGCATTTCCAGTCGCTCGACAATGCATCCTCGGAGAACGATCTGTTGTACACATCCGCCACGGCAGGCGAGATGATGACCGATAAGCAGTGTAAGATAAGCGGATGAAGTCCATCGGGTCCCGCAGGTATTGTGCCGTCAAAACTGGCGAGTAGACTACACCGCAATCCAGTTCAGCAAATGCTGCACAGGTCGAGCTCGGCATAGGTGCATGTTCACTTGTACATACGAAAGCGCAGTGCTTCGCCAATGTGGACGAACGTTCAGTACTGGTGGTCAGAAGCTGTTCGTCAGTGTCCTCTAACACAACTGTCACTTGCGGGTCACACGTGCCGCAAAAATCTCTTTTGGTGTCGTCCTCGCTAAAGTTGAAAGCTTCTCTTCCAACTTCCGACGCTTTCGTGCTGTTGCAAAGATTCCGCTGCCTTTTGTACGCATCGTAATCGTCGGCAGAGATAGACAAGAATAATTTATTCCACGATAAGCGTCGCCGACAAGCCAATTAGCCATACTCCCTGTCGAACCAATGTGGTTTTACTGGTACAGCTTTACTATATTTGAGGGGTACGAAACTTGCGAATAAAGACTGAACACCCACTTTCATAAAAGATCAACAGGCTTCAATAGATGAATCTTGCGGCAGCGACCAGTTCACTTTACTGGCAGCTCGGTTTAGACTATTGAAGTCGGTCTTCCAATAACTGTAGGAGGGCTAAAGAGGATGCCAGTAATGCAGCAGTAGCTATAGGTTGGCTAAGACAATCGAGTGGTCGCTAGTTGTAAGTCTCCAGGACCTGAATTTTATATATGCGTTACTCGCAACGAATTAGTATTGGGTCCAAGCACCATGGAGCGGAATGCGGTATAACGCGCGTCGGTTGACAGACGTGTTGTGATGCCCCAGTTTCAAATATCATCTTCGCAAATTGCGCATCGATTTTAGTACCCAGGGATAAGTCGGACCTCAGACCACAGTATTCAAGGGAAGTTAAAATCGCCCATAAGTAGGAAGCAGAGCAGACGCACGTAGTTTCTTACATGCGGCAACAAATCCAGACATCGAGTTCGCGTGCTGCAATAAGCTGCACCCACAAACAAGTCACCCTGTCTCAGGCGGATCGAGCACCATAGTTGCTCGCACAGGCCATCTTCGCAGCGGTAGGCATGCAACAATCACACGCACAGCGAAGACCGAATGAATAACAGCACGCCACCGCACAGCACGCACCGGAATTCCTGCTTAGTGAAGTCCGGAGTTAACCAGGTTTCAGCCAGTTCCAATATGCCCGGACGACGAGAGGCAAAGAAATGATATAGGTCGTCACATTTGTTCATTAAACTACAAACATTTGTGAAGGCTACGCGTAGGCCGCGGTTGAAACCGCCGGGCGTGCATGAAGCGTCATCGATTAGTTGATCAGGGTTCGACAGTCCCAGGAACTACCCGGTAATCAACAATGCGGAAGTTACTTTCTTCGCTATCGGTAAGCCGTTTCAACTCAATGATAGCGGATTTCATTTTCTCTCGGTCCGACGGATCCAAATCTGGACGAATATGGATCTTCAACCCTTTTACCCTACCGAGAAAGGATAGTAACATTTTCGGACTGGCGTCATCTGCAAAGCTGACTCCTAGAGGGCGAATGTTACCCTCCACTGCTTTTCCAAGACGGGTGATTTGCTTCACTCTCAACCCCTTGCTCACGCACGTCGAGCAGCCTATCAATCAACCACTGTGTGGAGATCCGGAACTGGATGGTAGCCGAACAAAACGGACACGCATACACCTCGATGTGGTATATAGCATAGCGACTGTTTTTGCCGCCCGGGGCACTGGTAAAATTCGCTCCATGACTGGGGGCAGAATAGGCGCGTGAAGTCTGCACAATCGGCTCAGAGTAAACTGCATATTAGTTTTCAGTTAAAATGGGTGACCGTGAGGGACACTGAGGTAAATACTGTAGAATAAGCACCACTGGACAAGTAAGGGGATTGCCGGGAAGAACGTTTGCACACAGGTATGACACATGACACAAGTTGCTGGTCATACGGAGTAACACTAAAATCAGCAATCGACAGGATCTCTAATGTTTAGGCAAGTGCTACCCGTTAACCGGTGAAGAATCGAATAATTCCGGTCGATCAAATTGCTTTTCAAAATGCTCAGCCCACATGAGGATTTGCTCGCTGTTATTAAGGTCTGGTGAAAATGTGACCTGTTGGCCAATTTGCAATAAATTGCGCGTGTTGAGGAGTGTAATTCTTGGGGATGATCTAGGGCTCTAAATAGTAACGGATAAATTAACGCGCCCGTTTAGTTGGACACGTACTTGTCAACGGGGCCGAAGCGACGCTCCGTGACTGCACGTTAGTCGTAATTAGAAGACAACGACTAAGAAAGCGCGATGAGGGAGGAACAAATGGGAGAGTATAAGAGAGTGGATAATAGTGAATTTTGAGCGGGGCGAAAAAGATGAAAAGTATAGGAGAGGAATAGGAAGAGAGGAATGCCAGAAGTGTAGTACCCGCATCTTGTCCACCCCGCTCGATGCAGCGGACGGGGCACCGTTCATTGTCCTCTGCGACTGCAGGAGCATCAAAAAATTGTTTGAAAAAGATCCCATTGTATTGGTGAGCAGGTGAAGTTGCCCAGGCATAGACAGAAAAACGATTATAACTATTAACCAAAGCCCTTGTTCAAAAACCTGACCGCAAGGTAGTGGGCTACATAGAGTCCGTTTTAAGAAATGATGAGCAATTCCGTTTTTAACTCCGATCTGGAGGACTAGAAAATTACCTCAGGCCTCTAACCGTTGACCAAACTATGAAGGTGCAAAGCAACATCCAGCAGTTCAATGAATCATAGGCACGCAAACAATCACACGTTTTCAAACTCTGGTCTCGTGGCGATGGATATCATGAAGCATAAGCTTATTTGAGTTTCTCAAGCTAAAAAATAACAACATGGAGCCACAGGCTAGCCAGTGGCATCTGAGGGTGAAATTGTAGTTGTAATCAAGAAACAGAATAGAATATGAAATGAGCTCACCTCTGTGTCTGTTGACCAATGCGATAGTACACTGTCTGATGAACCCGTAGGGTAAGTCAGAATGCGGCAATTGCTTGAATAACTTATTGAGTTGGTCCAATGTGGTAGACTTTAGCTGTGCCAAATCCCTGAGTTCTTTTAACGTTTCTGCCAAAGGGTTAGGATCGATTGTGAACGATATCGAGTGCTCGTTAATGAAAGACAGAACATCCCCTGGGGATATTCCCAACTGAGTCCAGTCCAGACGCATGGACTGAAACTTGAAAGATACGACATCAGGACCAAGGCGGGCAGCACTCATTCTTAGGCAATGGGCCAAGACATTGGCGCCACGGCCACCTGAGTGGAGCGGCCTTAGTATGGAGGTTAGCAGTTGGAAATGATCTGGACCATTTTGGATGAAGTGTTGAAATATCTCAGCCAGATATTTCCATCCAAATACATACTCCGCTGTCCACCCGTCGTCCAGAGTAGAGAAGTAAGCCCGACAGCTGAAAGTAAAGTTTTAATCAGGAAGCTTCAAAGTTCGATTGAGATATGCAGCATATGATCGGACATAATATATTAATAAAGACAACCCGCGGTCCACCTAGATGGATATCAAGGCTAATGTGCAAAAATATAAGAAGGAAGATTGAAAGTATGTCCTAACCGAGTGCAGTTGTGTCAAGAAAGTGAGTGTGCACTGAATACACACTGAATGACAATGACAGCGATGGTCGTAAAAAAGGGCGATCAACTCGACTAGCAGATCAGCGCCGAAAAATGACGAAAATGATGAGTCCGGGCAGTGCGTTGACAGGAAGGGCAAGATAATGATTGCAGGACAGAATGGCTTGTGTTTACTGTCGAACGATCTCTGTAAAGTAACCAAAACAAACCCAACCGGAAACTCTTAACTACCATGAGAAAAGCTAAATGGTTTTAGTAAGTAATATCTCATTTGACTTGCATTTACACAAATAGGTAAGACGAAGGTAGGCGGAACAGCGGAGAAACGCGGAGATGTGAAACGTTCAAGAGTACAAGTAATGTAACAGATGGAAATAAATACCGTAAAGCACGAGGTGGAGAAAAACAAAAACAAAGAGCTGGTGAACTCGTATGCTCCATCCGTAGTTAAAGTCTGGCGGTAGATAAAAAGCGCTGGTTGCTTCAAAATGGACGATGATAGTCATAAAGTCCGCACACAAGATGTTAGATGCTACTAAATGGCAAGGTGCAATCGGATGAGCAGTGACCCTCGCTCAAATACAAAATGGTTACCTAGTTGACAAAAGGACAAAGTAATGGCTTATATGGCTTTAAAAATTCATACTTAGTGTGGTGGTAAGTAAAACGATGACAAAATTTTCTTGGGCAGTGCATGGTGGCGCTTTTAATATACGTAAATTACACTGAGCGACGAAGTTCAAGTAGTCCAGAAATAATATAAGTGTGCAAACGGCGATAAACTTACGCGGATGCCACATCTGCTGGAGTGATCAATTTCTTATTCAATAATCGCAGACATAATTCACCTGCAGCTTTGCGCTCCTCCACACTCCTGTCCATCAACGTCTCAAAAACGAGATGAAGCAGTGCTGACCGATGCTCCGCCGGGCACTCCTCAACTGAGTCAAGCTATAGAAATTTTTGGAGAAAAACGAATGGTACATACCACATTGTCTTCCCTTGATAGAAGCAATTCAACGGTGGAACGAGCCATTCTTTGACATTTGGTCAAGACAATCTCGTAATTCTCAATAGGCTTGGAATTTTCAAGTGCAGCTGCAGGTCCACTAGCTTTTCTTTGGGCCCACACTCCTTGAGGCCCCGGAGGAACGAGGGGGGAAGCTTCCCGGGAACGACCACTTATTGTGGGATGCGTTGTGGTTTTGGGACTTTGTAGCTGACTGAAGTGAGTTAGAATAGAAAGGATAATCAGAGTACACAGTAAGTGTTAACGCCATTATGATATGTGTAAGGTGAAACATCCGATGGCGTTATAGTCAAAGCGATATAATAGGAATGGGGGTCAGAAGAAAGAGAGTGTAGAAGTAAAAGTTGCAGTGGCGAAACGGCATGTGCTCATCGGACGAGAATGAGGACTAAATAGTGTGACCACCAGGGTTCGGATATCCAACAGTAGCTTAAATACACGCACGACCAAGGACGAAGTTGGAGGAAATACGTTACACCGCAGCATCTGAGTCATGTGGACGAAAAGCGTGCTTTTTTCATAGCCAGATATTAAGACGATTTTCAATGATGACTTGATGATGAAGCAATTGTCTAAGACCCCAAAAATTGCGAAGCCCATGTGAGGTGACAAGTGACGCTATAATAAAACGTGGTTCCCGAGCAGCCAGCCTATAGAAACACCAAAAGCTGATAGTATAATGGAAGATTTTAGGCACAATTATCTGGGACATGCGGGATGATGCAGTTGCAATCATAAGCACTGTGTTTGCCAGAACACAGAGATCGATAGTCCCTCCATACTCGGGACTCAACCATGAAGGTCAATTAACGAGCTAGGCTCGGTTTAACAAGTTGGACGGATAAGCGCCAATAGCTCCCCACTGCTTGGTTAATTGGTACAGGCCGCATCAGGCCAGGTAGAAGGGAAACCCACAAAAATTCGAAGACTCATGCAATGCAACTGACATGCCAAGCAATCTAGAATACATGGCCAGCCCTAAGGTAGTTTAACCAATTTAACGGCATCAGCAGTAAGCTGGTACGCAGTAGGGGGTAAAGTAGACCGGTCCTTACGCAGGCTCGAACCCGCGTCCTCGGATTACTAGGCAGGCTTGTGATCTTTAAGGTGACAGATCGGCATAACCTCGTAATGCGTAGCCGGCGAACGGTACTTGTCTGCAACACGGCCGTTAATCATGCATTTTCGCTTTCCTCCCACACTGATTATGTCTTCTTAGGTAGAACCAGAAAGAAATCGTCAACATTTTGGAACAATTACTTAAAGACTCAGAGACTTAATGGGCTCCATAATACATCGAGTAACCCAACACCAAAGTAGCAATCCATTGGAACGGAACATTATGCTGCTTTTACAGTTAACGATAGCGTGTTAGCATATCCGGCCAACTGGCTTAGATTTGGATGACGATGCATCCCAGACGAAGTTACTCGTTGTTAGTGTTAAAAACGTAGCGTGCAGTTCAGATGAGTTGAGGACACTGTACGCGTAGTTTTCGCTGGATGTGCATTTGACACTACTGCTCAAGGCCACTGGTCACACGATAATTGCTGTCGGTGTGCATGTCAACCAACTCCAGTTCAGAGACTGTCAAGAATGGATGCCAGCTAAAATTTATTTACTCGTACGGTTATGAATGCGGAAAATGCACTCCCTGGTGACATGAATGCTTAGAGACTAAACGGAGTCCTAGCCGTTTAAGAGTGACGCACAGCCTGTTGATGACGATCGCGCGCCAATCGCATAAGTGCCAACCACAGGCACGTACACACAGCGGTTGCCAAACACCACTAATGCTGACCAAATAGCCAGCTGCAGATGGTGTGCGGCAATCCCAAATTACCTGAATCATACCTCCGGCTGCCGATCGCGCCGTAGTGTCATCAGCATCGACGTTACTTATGACTGGCGGAGGAATGGCCAGCCGATGGCGAGAGCAAAAGTAGACTTAGTAAAACTTGTTTGGACTGATAATACCAAAAGAACTGTTCGCACACCTCATCCAACGTACCAGGATACTTTGCACAAAGACGATTAATTGCATGTGCCACTGTAACCTTATCTCTATTTTGTCCCCCTCTTCAATGATAGCATTCTCACAATTGGGCGAACTATGAGATCCTGATCCGAGTAGGTTAACTGAACTGGTTGGTTACCCGGAGATGGAACTTTACCTATCGATAAGCTGAAAGCCGACTGCATCGTCTTCGATGTGCGATGAAGCCGAGTGTGCATGTTCAGATGAATGGACGGCTAAAACATGCATCAACGTGAGTGAGGAACTGGTGATTTCACCAATCAGGTGCACTTTGGATGAAAATTTTGTGGCGATTAGTTAGCGACTAACGTAGAGTTGTCCCAAGTCAAGCAAAGCCTGAGTACAAAGATGTGTGGACAAAATCATGACCAATGCTAAATTGGTGCATAGTGATTCCACTTGAAGGCATTTCGTGCAGTGCCCGCTGAATGGAACAGGGAACGGGAGAGCGACTCTTGAGGTTAAACAGATGTGATGTGAACATGTGTTTGAAGTTAACCTCGATGTAATTGATTGTCAACACAGTGACGATCCAATAGAGGTAGCTATTAAGCCGCAATACAAAAACACAAGACATGAAAAGCGAGACATTAATAATTACAGAACACAATGGGGAAAACGAGTAATATTATGCATCGGGAATGAGATGGTGTTTGGGGTCAGAGAAACAAACGTCCTTGAGATCAGCTCCTAGCCATATTAACAAGTGTATCCAACCAAAGGTGTTCAACGTCCTTCGAACTACAGCCTGGCGGCTCGGAGACAACAAGCGAAGCCAACTTCGAAGTGTTTTCATCCCTCTTGACCAAGTCACCGCTTGGCCTCCCCTCTTTCTATCTAAACCAGCCTGTAGCCTTAAGGATCACAAGCCTGTCATGTAATCGGAGGGTGCGGGTTCGAGGCAGCGTAGGGACCGGGCAGTTTTTACAGTATTCTTAACTCACGTGCGACTAGTGATGGATGCGCGTTAGTGCGTACCGACGTATTGCTGATGCCTTCTATCCAGACCGTGGTCGCGCTAACAAAGCAGGTCCTAAGAGTCGGTGGCATGCGCAACACGTCCCAGCCATCGGAGCATGGTGCTTGATATAACGGTGCTGAGCGGTTCACACACTCATGCTGCACCACATACATGACGCTGAACACGCCCATTACTCACGTAGTGTTCCCCACCAGACATGAGCTAAACTGTGAAAACAACGATGGTCGAAGATAACCAGAAGTAGTCATAACATTCAACCAAATACTGCATCGGTTGTCGTGCAGCTTATCGAGGATCGCCTTCCCTGATGCATACAGCACGGCAGATAAGCGAAAAGATGCTACTGCTGGCGCCACTCTTCTTTCCTATAGGACTGTTTCTCTTAACTCCCCTCCCAGTCCCCATTACTATAATTCCCAGTTCCCCATTAAATATAAACAACATGGGGCCAGAAACGAACAATGGTTTTCAGTGATAATGATAAGGAATATGGCGGATTAAATTAAGTGAAATAAATCGAGCTCTAGCCAGGTTCGTGAATCGATGGGCGAACCAAGTTTCGCTTTTATCGCACAGGAACAAGCTGCAGATCGTATATTGTCTACTCCAAGTATTTTTCCGATAAACCTGACGTTGGATGGAAAAGTCTGTTCTTCTGACTAGCAGTACGTTGAAATGGTAAACGATTACTTGTTTTCTCACACAACCGCAATGTCACGAGTTATGCCAACTGCAGCTAGCTTCCCGTACTTCCCAGTGGACACTAATAGCCACACAGTTCCGTTACCCTGGGTGCGTTCAACGTTCATACTCTAAGACAAATAGGTCAACAAACTGCATTCGCACAAACTTTGGACGTGCTTCGTGTCCTAAACTAGGATCAATGACCCGCACGGAGTTGTTGAATGTATTGCGCCAGGCTTGTCGCTTCGCTATTGGTTGCACGTATCCGGAGACGCTGATGCGGAAACCCCTGGAGCGGGCATCGTTTTCAGCTCTAAGATTGAGTCATTACTGATTGATTGGATTCCCGTGAACAGCCGCTTGCATGCAGTCTGTTTGTCAACAGCAACTAAGGTTGGTCTACGAAGTAGCATAAGACGCTGTTTGTGGTTTCCGTTGGTGCCTTCAACGACTGCATTTCTGATGCTTCAAAGGACACCTACAGGAACTGAACACGCTACTACGCAGGGCTACCAGTACAGATATCACAGTTCTTGCAGGTGATACGAATGTGCAAGTAGGTCGTCTGAGCTCTTCAGAAGCTCTGATAAGTGGTAAATATGGGCTTAACACCGAACAGACGGACAACAGCGAGTCGGTTACAGCTGTGAGCGGAGCACCAGTGGTCTCTCAGTAGCACCAGTTTTAGACATCATGGGCGCTGAAGTGCCACTTGGCGTCCATCTATAGTTGATTAGCGATGGACCCAAATAGATCACGTTACCATAAGGTACAGGTGGTGTATAGTTTCATGCTTGATTGTCATTTTCTCTTACGTCGATTCTGATCATGCTTTGGTACGTCGTCGTATTTTCATTAACTTTACTGGGAAACGTATCAAGCGTCTTTCCCGATTGGCAACTGGGAGTTAGTTCAGCTCATGATCAGGCAAGCCTATCAGGATGCCTGCGTAACGAACTTTTGCTTTCTTGTCCTAAGTACCCTGAGCTTCAATGGAACAGGATCTCGGCCGCCAGGAACCATGCACCAGGCAGTGGATATTTGAAAGGTCCGTGAACCTGTTGGAATCCAGAAGAAAACTCCTGGCTGGCTTTGAGCACAATGCAACTAAGCGGACTATTACGCGCGAACTAGTGGGATCTGTGTGCTGACAAGGAAACATGGTGGACCGGTCGGCCTCAAGAAATGGGGGAAGCAGGAGTAGTAGGCAATTATAGCAAGCTTCTACAACTGATCCGCACTACTGATCCCATAAAATCATGTGTCAGGGAGACAGTCGGAGACAGTGAAGGTGTCACGATTAACAATAAGGAGCGCCTTTTAGCCCGTTGGTCAAAGCACTTTCGAGGGCAGTTCAGTTGTCCCACCGCTTCTTGACCAGTTCCCACAGGTGTTACAGGCTGAGCCATGGCCGGTTGGTTTAGAAAGTCCGTCGGAGAATGATGTCCGAAAAACGAGTACGGCCCGGATTACCTCGCATCCGCACTAG